AGCAGGGGGTTGGACTAGAAGACCTCTAAGGGTCCCTTCCAGCTCGGGTATTCTTTTGTTCTTCTTCTGTTGTAGGTCCTCCCCCATTGGAGGTTTCTAAGAAGAGGCTGGGCAGCCACTTGTGTCTGAAATGGGGTAGGGTCTCCCGCTTGAGCAGGGGGTTGGACTAGAAGACCTCTAAGGGTCCCTTCCAGCTCGGGTATTCTTTTGTTCTTCTTCTGTTGTAGGTCCTCCCCCATTGGAGGTTTCTAAGAAGAGGCTGGGCAGCCACTTGTGTCTGAAATGGGGTAGGGTCTCCCGCTTGAGCAGGGGGTTGGACTAGAAGACCTCTAAGGGTCCCTTCCAGTTCGGGTATTCTTTTGTTCTTCTTCTGTTGTAGGTCCTCCCCCATTGGAGGTTTCTAAGAAGAGACTGGGCAGCCACTTGTGTCTGAAATGGGGTAGGGTCTCCCGCTTGAGCAACGGGGTTGGACTAGAAGACCTCCAAGGTCCCTTCCAATTCTGTCCCGATCGAATTGGGCGAAGGGGAGGCTTAAACCAGGCCGCTCACCGGCGCCCGCAAGAACGGGGCCGCCGCCGGGAAGGCGCTCAGCGGGTAAGCCACGGGGCCGCCCGCCAGGCCGAGCAGCGAGGGCGGCGGGGGCGGGCCGTGGGGGGACAGCGGCAAGGCTGCCAAGGCGCTGCCCGCCAGCGAGCTATCGTGGTACAACACCGGGACGCGGACGATCCGCTGGGCGGTGGAAGGAGGCAGCTGCGCGGCTTCTAGGTCGGCGGCCAACTGGCGCTTCCATTTGTTGCGCCGGTTCTGGAACCAGATCTTGACCTGCGTCTCGGTCAGGCGCAGCGAGGCGGCCAAGCCGGCCCGCTCCGAACTGCTCAGGTAGCGTTTGACGTCGAAGGTGGACTCCAACTGGAACACCTGGCTGCGGCTGAAGACGGTGCGCGTTTTCTTCTTGCGCCCGCCGGCCCGCGCCTCGGATGCCTCGGGCTCCTCCGGACGCTGCTTGCCGTCGGCGACGCCCCCGCCGGATCCGGGACGGCCCCGGCCCGGTTCTGTACTCTTCTCCTCGACGGCGTTGGGGTCGGCTGTCCCCCGCGGCTGGCGACTTGCCTTCGGCTGGGTAGCTCCTTCGGCGATCTCCGGGGAGTCTCTGTCGCTGGCTGGTTGGGGAAGGGGAGGGGGAGAGAGGGAGGGAAGGGGTCAGTCCGCGTCGGCGGAAAACCCCCCACCCATCAATCCACAAACACCCCGCGGCCGGCTGTCCGGACTCCCGCCAGCAGCCGGGACCTTCAAAACCCAAGTTGGAAGGCCGGGTCAACTCCGGTAGAGGTCCTCGCTATGGGCTCTGCGCCCCCTCCCCTGAAGAAGCTGGAGAAGGGGGCAAAGCTCGCCCCCATCCCAGCCTTGGGCTAGGGCAGCCAGCACTCCGGTCCCGCAAGCAGCCTGAACAGACGCCCTGGTACCGGTTGGACTGTCAGGGGCTGCTGGAAAAATCTTCCTACGCACGACTCCCCTACTCCCGCGCCGCGCTTCCCCGGGGAGGCCCACGGAATGTAGGCCGCTTCTCGGAGCGGGAGAGAGGACCGGGGGTCGCCTCTGCCCTTCTGCCCGGCGGGGGCGCCGAAGGGAGGGTGGGGATAGAGAAAGGGATGGCGTCCGGGCCCAAATCTCGCCAGCCGGCCCCAAGGGGAGTGGAAGGGGGCTCCGTGGGGGCTGCGGGACTTACTTTCCGGACTGGCGCAGCTCCTAAAAGCTTTGCGGGCCCGTCGGTACCACTCCAGGGCGCTCTCCCGCAGGGGCGAGCTGAGCTCCAGGCGGGGCCCCGGGGCCTGGCAGCAGGCGAGAGGGCAGGGGCGTCCGGGCTGGGCGCGGGGCGCCGGGGTTTCCTCTCGGGCCTGGCGAGGGCCGGATTCCTCCTCCGCAGCCTCCTCCTCCTCTTCCTCCTCTTCTTCCTCGTCCCCCCGCCGCCGCCGTTTCGTTTGGGCCGCCAGTAGGTTGGCGATGAAAAACGAGGAGACCCGAGCCGAGGCGGCCTGGACGGTTCCCGACGCTTGGTCCGGCATCCTGGCACGAGGATGCGGGCAGCCGGAGCCGCTTTCAGGATACGGGAGCGCGGGCGAGAGGGTGACCCGCTCCGGAGGGTCACATCGCCGTCGTCTCCTCACGCCAGCCGGCCGGCCGGCCGGCCCGACTCGCCGCTTGGCCCGAGGCAGAAGCCAGCCCGAGAATAGGGCGCGCCGGGGCTGCCGCGCCCTCCCCGCGCCCGCTCGGCCGATTTAGGTCAATTGGGCAGCCAGGCACCGGCGGGAGGCGCCACGCCGGGAGGTGGGGGGAGGGCAGGGGGCCGGCCCTCACCCGCCTCTCTCATTGGTCGATCAGGGGGAGGGGGAAGAGGACGGAGGGGTCTGCCAATGAGGACGTCCGCCTTGGGAAAAAAAAGAATCAAAAGATGCGCAAATCTCAGCCACGCCCCTCCAGCCCCCTTCCTTTGCTCCAGTTCCCACCGCGCTCCCCTACCCCCACGAGCCCACGCCCCTCCCCGTTTCTGCGCGAGGGCTTCGGCGCGCGCGGGAGGCGGAGGGCGGCCGGGATGGGGGCGACCTCCCTTCTCGGGGTTCGCAGCGGAAAGAGCCGGTCGGGAGGGTGGGAGGCGCGGACACATCCTTGAGACCCCAGTGGATCTCCCCCGGGCCCGGCAGGGGACGGGGACCAGAAGGGGCTTCTCTGCGCCCGACAGGAAGAGAGCTCAGCGCGAGTTCCAACGGCTTCCCCAGTCCCCGCTGGGAATTCCTCTTTCCCTCGAGCTGGCTTGAGCTGGCGGCCCTTTCCCAGGAGCCTGGAGCGAGCGGCCGGAGGGTCTCGCCAATTCCCAGAGGGGTCCCCGGGAAGAGAAGCTGCCGGGGCTGGTGGGACCACCGTGGCAGCCGGAGGGGTCTCCCAGCCCCCGTGAAGCCATGGCCCAACTTCCGAAGGTGCAGCGGCTGCCGGATTCGCGAGACTTTCGCCCCCTCCTTCCCTCGGTGTCTCAGGTCCATAGGGCGGCTTTCCCGGGGTCGCCAACCGCTGGGGGAAGGAAAGCAGTCCCGTGAGAAGGAGCGGGCAGCCGTGCCAACCTTCGTGGACCGGGGGTTCGACGGCCTGGAGTCCAGCCGCCCGCCTTGAAACCGGAGAAAGGGGTTGCCTTTTACAGGAGGGGCGTCCTCACCGTCTCGGGAGCAGCGACCCCTGCCCACCTCCGCCTCCAGGTGAGCCTGACCAAAGAGACGGTGGCTTCGTTGGGTAGGAATCGCGTTTCCCCTCGTAAGTGGCAGGCGTGTTTTTAAACGAATCCATTTTCTGCAAAGATCTAGCTAGTTGGCAGAGAGAGAGAGAGAGAAAGAGAGAGAGAGAGAGAAAAGAAATACTGAGAGAGTGGGGGAAGAGAGAGAGAGACAAAGAAAGAAAGAAAGAAAGAAAGAAAGAAAGAAAGAAAGAAAGAAAGAAAGAAAGAAAGAAAGAAAGAAAGA